ACAGGCTGTGCACGTTACAGATCCCTTGAATTTGGAAATCGAAAAAGAGAAGTGCTTTTGTCGCTGTTCTAGCAAAATTTTCCTCACAACACACTGCATGGCGTTGCCCATCTTCATTAGCCCAATTACGTGCAGAGTTGGACGTAAAACTCCATTCATTTCAATTCCTGTTTATTTTGAAGCATAAATATAGAGCCTTATAATTCTGACCATATCATTCATTCATTCTAACCATATCATTCATTCATTCTAACCATATCATTCATTCATTCTAACCATATCATTCATTCATTCCAAACATATCATTCATTCATTCTAACCATATCATTCATTCATTCATTCTATCCATATCATTCATTCATTCTAACCATATCATTCATTCATTCTAACCATATCATTCATTCATTCTAACCATATCATTCATTCATTCTAACCATATCATTCATTCATTCTGACCATTTCATTCATTCATTCTAACCATATCATTCATTCATTCCAACCATATCATTCATTCATTCTAACCATATCATTTATGCATATTAACCATATCATTCATTCATTCATTCATTCCAACCATATCATTCATTCATTCTAACCATATCATTCATTCATTCCAACCATTTCATTTATGCATATTAACCATATCATTCATTCTTCCTAACCATATCATTCATTCATTCTAACCATATCATTCATTCATTCCAACCATATCATTCTTCCTAACCATATCATTCATTCATTCTAACCATATCATTCTTCCTAACCATATCATTCATTCATTCTAACCATATCATTCATTCATTCATTCTATCCATATCATTCTTCCTAACCATATCATTCATTCATTCTAACCATATCATTCATTCATTCTAACCATATCATTCATTCTATCCATATCATTCATTCATATTAACCATATCATTCATTCATTCTATCCATATCATTCATTCATATTAACCATATCATTCATTCATTCTATCCATATCATTCATTCTAACCATATCATTCATTCATTCTACCAATTATTGATATATACATTTTTTTCGATTTTTAGCTCCGATACCATCGTGTTGATTGCACGATATAAAATATCCGTCCAGCTAAATAACTGTTTATTTGAACATTACGGTACAATGACAATTTTATCAATTTTAATATGGTCAATATATTAAATGAATGTGCCGGTAACGCGAAAACAACAATTTATATCGGAATATAAAAATATATGGACTGTTAACGGACTGTTTTTTATTTGTGTGAAGGAAGTTAGTTATTTTATTCACTAGTTGGACAGTTGAAGGAACAACACTAAGATATCATCGTCTGAATTTCCAGAATATTATAACAATCGGTGAGTTTCTTTACAAATTCATTATCTCCTTTACATGTTCATTATCTACTGTACATGTTCATTATCTTCTTTACATGTTCATTATTCGTTGTAAGTTCATTATCTTTGCTTCTTGATTACCAAAGCCCCTCGTTGTCGTATTTATTATTCACAACCATAATAAAGCAGGGATATTTCAGCACATTGGGGGACTATTCAAACAAAAACACAAGAAGTTCGGTGGTGAAAGGCGTCGTTAGACTCAATCTTATTAAAACTAGATTACAATTTTGCATCTTTTTTTTCGATTTCTGATATTTTTAGTCTCAATGGTACTGTAACAAGTGACGGTCATTCCCAAAGTAGTAGTATTTTTTAACCAATCACGATCGTGTAGAACCTCTGAAGGAATTGTGGGATATCGAAACCTAAAATAAAGTAATATTACAGCCTCTTTGCATGTCTCTATCCCTCAATGTGTCGTTGCCACATGATACTGAAGACGTAATTATACCCATACCTTATAGTATTAATATTCTTTTTAATTTCAGATCATGGAACCAGGTTCACTCCAAAATTACAACATTCCAGAAATATTACAGCATTGGGCAAAGATTCATCCGAATTCAGAAGCATTTGTGTTTGTTGATAAGGATGATTTGAGGACCTCTCTAACGTGTAAGGAGATTTTAGACCATTCTGTGTATTTCGCCAGGCAGCTGAGAAAACTGGGTATAGAGCCTGGAGAAGTTATTTGTAGTCTGTTACCCGAATCTCCAAACACAATCGTCTCATTTTTTGGCACCATCCTTGCAGGTTGCGTCGTTCTAAATGGGAAGCTTCAACTTAAAGATGGCACTTTTTTGCTTCAAAACATCAATAAAACAAAAAGTCCAATTTTGATTATATCGTCTGATCCCAAAGACGAATATAGGAAATTATTTTCAGAGATAATCGACAATGGAGACGGCAATTCAGTTTCTTCAAAGACGCTTCCATTTCTCAAGCATGTCTTGTACACAGAGGTAAACCGAAATATTGGATTCAAATGGGCCAATCAACTACCAGAAAATAATGACGCAAATGATGACGTCATTTGTTACGATGGTAACGCCGATGCAGTCATAATGTTGACGTCTGGGACAACTGGTATGCCCAAAATGTTGGTTCACTCCCATTTAATGATGACATACTTACTAGAGACTGTACAACCGAAATGTAAAAACGGGATGTTGAATTGTTACTCATTAAGTTGGATACCAGGTTTACTAAGCCATTACCTATCTACAGGCTTGAAATCTGTTCACATAGACCAACGAAACCCTCCTTTGATTCCTTCCATTGGTCAATTTATTTATGACCTTTTAATTCAAGAAAAATGCGATTTAATATCAATAGAATATCTTTATTTAATGAAAGTTTTCATAGTGTTCGAAAATAAAGAAACACCTAAAGACTGGCCAGAACACATTGAATGTATTCTTTTGGGTCGACCACTTTCTTCCGCCGTCGTTGATCGATGTCTATCTCATTGCGATGTTGTACACAATTTTTATGGGTCTTCTGAAGCCGGTGGGATCACGAGTAAGAAGATAGATAAAAATACACCATATGAAGATTTTAACACAGGTGTTGCTCCTGCAGAGGCAGAGATTATCATCAGAGATGAGAATAATGTCCAGGTACCTCTCGGGACTATCGGCAATATCTATGTCAAAACAAAGGGGTTAATGAAAAGATATTTCGGTGACGAAAAACTCACAAATGACGCCTTTGACTCTAATGGGTTTTTTAATATGAATGATTCGGGATATTTCAATAAAAATGGCGATCTGATAGTTTTTGGTCGAACAAAAGACGTCATAGTCCGAGGTGAAGACTATTTTCATCCCACTTGGATCGAACAAGTTATCAGACGATGTCCAGAAGTTAATGACGTCATGGTAGTAAAGGTCCCGGATGTTGAGGAAGATCAAGAGATATGCGCATGCGTTGTGCTGGTTCCTGGATCAAAATACAGCGTGGAACAAATAGAAGAATTCTGTAAAAATAGTTTTGTACCTGATAATCTAGAACATGTATCAGCATGTCCA